TCAGCAGGAGGACCCAACTGGAGACAGTCCTGACTCTGAGGGAAGAGTAAGAGAAGGATAAAAAGAAAGTCCACCTGAACACAGTGGTAATCACCACCTACCTCAGGAAGAATGAACCAGGATGAATTCCTGCTTCTGTGGAAGTACTCAAAAAATACCTCTGCTGCGTGCGGAGGCACAACGGTAGTCTTGGGGAAAAACACTGTGTAACTAAGTTGTGAGTTGAAGTAGCTGCTCTTTTCATGGAACACAGCTTTAATCGAAAAAAATGAGTGACAACCTGTCGTTATTCAGACTTTAGTATTGGCATACATCTTGAAAATGAAGTGACCTTGTCACTTCAAGGAAAACAACTGACGGTATTGCCAATGATAAAAAAAATCTAAGCTTTCAAGAAAAAATTAGAATTTTGGGAAAGTTTATCACAAATATGAGCTTGAAACTTCCCCAAATTTCAAGGTTTTTCTGAGATTAGTCATACGAATCAATGTAATTTTTGATACTGTATAAAAATTTTAACAACATTTAGAAGGCCTGCATAGCCCACTGCACAAATACGTATGTTATAAAATCGTGCGGGGGTGAGACAGCCATTCTCAGGGCAGAGAGACCGACAGATTTTAATATAACAGTATACAAGGTTCAATGAACTGCTCTCAGATTCCACACTAATTAACTTTTAAGGAACTACCACTTACTGAGTTTTGGTATGATATCAAAGAATAATAACCAAAATCATCTGAAAGGCTATTTATAATACTCCTCCCCTGTCCAATTACATATCTGAGACAATTTTCTTCATATAATATAATCAAATATAATCAAAAGAATATTTTGCAACATACTGGATGTGACATTAAAGAAATTTGCAAAACTAGAAAAATGGCATTAATATTGTTTTTAAATAGTTATTTTCATTAAAAATATCATTTCAAATTATTTCAAATCAATCTCAGTTTTAATTTCTAATGGACTAAATATTTGTAAACATAACCCACAAAAACACAAGCTCTTTAGTTAGGGTCCTCAGTAACTTTTAGAAGAGAGTCCTGAGGTCACCGTTTTCTGTAAGGTAGAGATAATACCACCTACTTCTCAGAGTTGGTATGAAAGGAGACAGAAATACTTGACATAAAACACAGCATATAGTGTCTGGCATACTGGAATTGCTTAATAAGTCACAGCTATTCTACTGCCACAAATATGTTACTGCCATCTTTACTACAGTGTAAGTCTACCTTCTAACTAATGGATGTGCTTTTAAGCTAATGTGTTGCTCGTGTGGCATAAATGTGGGCAACACCTGATAAAGGAAGAAGTGGCTCCATCCCACTACCTTGCTGCTTAGTCTAACACATGAAAAAGAAGGATGAGGACAGGGGAAACCTGAACTAAGTCCTGAGCCCTGAGCCAGGAAACCTAGGATTGGGTCCAGGCAGGGCCTCCTGTGTCAGGTGTTGATAAGATAAGCAGGCCACAGGTGCCTCCAAGCAGTTTTTACTCAGCCCCAAAGCCTTCAATTGTAAAGAACCAAAAGCTAATTCCATATATCTACTAAGAGGGCATGGCAGAAAAGAGAATTGGGTAATTCTCCCAAATTCACATAGCTGCTAAGGAATGGAGCTGGCTGTGTTACAAGGATCTGATCCGAAAGCCTGGGCTCTGCCACTGCAGTAGACTGCCTTCGAGGACAGTTTAGACTGAACTACAAGACGTTCCAAAGAACTGCAGGAAACACTTATTCCTACAAGCCTCTAGAGGAAACAGGGTATCTGAGCAGCACACAACTTCCTTTGCAGAGAAAAGACCAGTCCAAAGGCTTTTTTTTGTTTGAAGGCAACTGATGAGACTCTGGGCCTGGCTAAAAAAAGGCAAGCAGGTCCACAGCCAGTCTAGTCTGCCACTCAGACCTAGAAATGTCCCCGGTCCCAAAGAAGCTCAAGAAGCTCCTTGCAGACATTACCACTATGTCCTCAGGGTAGAGATTGTCGCTGAAGGAGCCATCATCAAAGTTGACTTCATAGAAGGTCTCAGTGGTGAGCCTGACCACCTCACACTGGTAGAAGCGCCCATTCTTGTGCTTGCTAATGACCTTCTGGCCTGCAGTGATGCTCTGCAAGGCCCCCTTGGCACGCTGGAAAAAACAGAGGCTTGGGTTACTCCCATCTTGACTTGATATAGGTCTGGCAAATGGAGCCCAAGATCAATTGGTTTCTCTTTACCAGGGAAAGATAAGCATAGGAATGGAATAGTAAAAAGTAGGAAGAGATGGGAGTTGAGATAGGTCTTTCCAGATATCCATACCCCAACCAGGACACTGGAATAAACTAGTATATTTTCCTGCATAAGTGTAGCTTCTTCCCTAGTTCCAAGTCCACAAATGTTCTCATACCACACTATCTTATCCCAAACTCAGAACAGACTCTTTTGACTTCCTTATTATTGCCAGGAAGTGACCAAATAGCACCTACTAATGCACAAAACTTAGACACACATCAAAGTAGACACTCAACAGGTGATCTGAAGCCCAAGGACAATGCTCCACACAGATCTTAGTATTAGCTCTACACCCAAGGCTAGGGCACAAAGACTGAGGCCCCCTGGATGTCCTCAGCTGCACACTACAAATGACTCTCCATTACAAGGGCCTTGCCATCTCTCGGACCCTCACATCACCCTTCTTCTCATTCTGAACTTGCCTTTGATACAAATGGGATCACAGAGCGTCTGTGGCCTTGTGTTCGACCACTCCTCCACAAACTGCCCAAGCACTACACTCCAGCCATGCTGGCCTCCCTGCTGTTCTGAGCATGCATGCCAAGTGTGTTCCCACCTTGGGATTTTTGCACTGCTGGTTCCCTCTACCTGAAATGCTATTTCCCAGTTATCTTGCATGCTGGCTCTCTCACATCAAAATGTCAACATACTGACACTGTTCCTCACTACCTCCCCTTCCTTTTCCTTTATCCTGCCTTAAATTTATCCATCACATTTGTGCCTCACCGGATATGCTGCAACTTTGTTTCCTGACATGTAGTAGATGCCCAATGAATATGTGAAGAATGAATTAATGAAAAACTCAACAGTATCCCCCATTTCCTCACAGCATCAGCAGTCTACAGCCACCGATTTAAGGATATGGAGTGCAACTGATAATCACAAAATCACTATCCTGTTGCATAACAAAATTCCTATTTCCCTACCAGAGCCGTGACTCAATGCTATCTTAACTTTCACTCCTCTGGAGTCTCATTCTTAAATTGACTATTTTTCATCTTCCTAAGACCCTAACCCACCCCTGACCATCTCCTGTTCTCAGTAAAACACCTCTATGAAAAAGAATCCAGTCAGCCAACAAATGGTACAGCGATAAGGATTAGATGTGACTCTAAAGCTCTGCCTATGTGTTCCCATTTGAGACCTCACTTCTCTCCTGGGATAACTGGCGTCCCTAACTGAAAGCCTTATTCCTCCAATCTGTGAATCCACTAGAGTGACTGATTAAAAAAAAAAATGAAACTCAAAATCATAATATTGTAACAGTTCTCCTTATCTAATAAAAGCAGGTCTAGGGCCTTCATCTTCTTATCATTCCCACCATGGTTCCAGAACCAGTCTTACATGTTCATTCTTCTGAGACTTGTCTGTGCTATTTCTGAAGCCTTGAATGCCCTCCCACTCACAATTCCTATTGTTTAAGACCCACTTCAAACGCTACCTTCTACCCAAACCCTTCCATAACTTCTCTAGCTAAAATTACATGTATCTTTCTTCGAGCTTCAACATTTAGAGAAGGACAAAATCTACTGTATGGCAGTTAACCAACAAGAGCCCTCCATATCAGTACACAACATTCACAGTGTCCCTGACACTGTGTTAAGTTAATGGACACTCAGATTAATAAAACATGGCCCCTTAAGGTGTTTATCTTGGAGAAGAGGCAAACAAGTAAACAAATAATCAAAAGGAATCAGCCACAAGCAGTTTGGTGCCACCAGATTAGGAAGTACCAGGCAGGGAGTAGTGATGGACAGGCGCCATCTCTTAATCCCTTACTCATTAGCATTCTCCATAAAGCATAATGCTTGAGGAAATATTTGCTGACACAATGAATGAACAGCCTGCAAAGAAAATGATCCTGGAAACTCTCAAGAGGATTCTAGAATGGCACTCTCTCTCACCTCCAAATTAGGAATCTTGTGCCGAAAGCAGGTAATGAAGACGACAAAAGGCCAGTCATCCGGCTGCATCATCACTCCTGCAGCCTGGGCACAGCTCACGTGGAAGGCAGTTGGGCAACGGCCATGTGAACATTGCACACAGCAGCCAGCAGTTCTTTTCCTCCGCTTCTTACAGAAGACACACTTCTACAACACAAGGAGAAGCAAACCAGTGATTCCAGGAACTGACAGTACTGTCTTCCCTATCGTTCCCTGGTCCAAATGCACATAGCCAAACCAGTAGGAGCCAACCTCCTTCCCAAACACAAGGGCACAAACACACCCTCTTTGAATCTCGTGTGATTATAGGTGAGAATCACAAACCCACACCAAAACCAATGGGTAAAGGCTAGCCACTGGGCCAAGAGAGGTTGCCCTCAGAAGTACTATGTTATCCTCTACTCAGAGACTTATAAAAAGGGTAGCGATGAAGAGTGCAAACCCATCTCATCTTCCTTACCAGCTTAAAGCGGGGCAGGGGAATTTTGCTCACATCCACTGGACTTCTTTCTGCAATGTTGACAAACCTCGCTTCCAGAATTGCCACAGCACAAGAGACATGGACCCACCTGCCAAAGAGCAAAGGCTACTCAGTCACCTCTAGCTCCAAGGATCTGTGGCCTTCTCATCTCATGTGAGCCTGCCAATGGTGCTTCATCCCACCACCAAGTTCCTGGGGACCAGTGAGGTAAGAACCACAGTGTCTCCGCACCGACTATGTGGAAACAGGCCCCACCACACTACCCTGGGTGAGCAAAGGGTTGCACTTCTTACAACACTAACTCACTCACAATCTGTTGCAAAATGAGCGGTTAATTGAGGGTGGCAAGTTTCAGGGAGTGAGAATAAATTAGAAAGCTCTACACAGACCTCTTTTACATAGGACCTGGGTGCTTCCTCAAAAAATTTCCAACTGTGCCCCAATCTGCCAGTAATCACAGCTGTCCCCTGCAGGCCTCTGCTCAAACCTTTCCTCTGGACTGAAATGACCTCTACCTTCTGCTCCCTTCCTCCATAGCAGACTCACTCTTTAAGGTCTCAAGCACCTACTTACTCTTGACAAGTCTATTCAACGGACATCCTTAGAGAATTAATTAAATAATTATGGACATTTCAGGAAATTGTCATGCCCCAAGATGAGAAAAACTAAGATTATGAAAACACTTAAAATCAGGCCAGGTGAAAACGTGTAATACACAGTGGTGGGGCTGTACAGAAGGGGCTATTATATAAGAGTGGGAACAGATTTGTTTCACATGGCCCTGCAGGGCAGAACAAGGATTACAAAGTAAAGATGGGATGCTCAAGCGGAGCCACTTCTACTCCAAATAAGGAAGAACTTTAACAGTGCTATCTTGCAATTGTGAGGAACACGATGACCTCAAGTAATGTTAGTAAGTGCCTTTAAAAGAACGGAAGCAGCAAGCAAAACAGCTATCTATCTGGAACAGCATGAAGGGGGTTCCTGTGAGGCAGAGGGCCAGATGGAATGTTGCTCCAAGTTCCCAGAGGATTTTAGCTGGAAGCAGGATACCGATCACTGGTTGCCTACTGACCTATGTGTACCATACACTGGACAGCCTTCCAGGGCAAAAACCTTATTCACCTTATGTTTGTACCTCAGAATAAGTAGGACAAGACCAAGCACAAAGACTGAGCTCAGTGAAAATGAGCTGCCTGACAGCTGAGAAGCCCACCTCTGGGCTCAGATTCAACAGTGGGTAGGCTTGCCTGAGCTCTCCTCAGTGTCTCCTCCTTAAGGAGACTCATCTTCATTCTAAACGACAGGTCTGAGACAAAGAGAGCTGGCCTGTGGAAAAGTGCTCACTAGCTCATGGCCATGGGCACCTTTGCACCTGCCCCAGCTGTAACAAGGTAACTGTCCTTACTTCCAGCCCACAAAGCCCCCTGTGTCATTTCCACAGGGTCCTCATACCCTCGTGAGTCCATCTTAGCTTCTCTAAAAGGAGGACATGACTTACATGTCTGCCCCAAAGGGGAAATGGACTTGGAAAGGTTTGGGACTTCTTGGCTCTCCTTGGCATCCCATTTTTAAAATCAGTCTTAGAGATGCTATTCCAGCTCCAAACAGTGTGCTTCCCAGATCTTCATCAGTCAGTCATTCTGATGAATAGCCACCGCCCCCCGAGTGCCTCTGCGTGCTGCTTCAGAACCACGCGTTCGGAGACACTGCTCAGAACACTCACCTGTCATCATTTGCTCTCTGCAGGGCTCCTCCTCGTAATGAGCATAAACAGCAGTCCTGCCAAGAAGAGAGGGGAAGAAAGTGGTTACCACCAAGTCGTTAACATCCACTCTGCTCTCCCCTCGACTTCCTTTGGGCAACTGTAGCCTCCACACAAGAAAGCAGCCAAGTGGCACATGGGCTTCACCTACACAGGTTCTGTAACCAGGACCCCGCTGGAGGCAGATGAGGAGGCCACTCGGGGCTTAAGTGCACCAAGTATTTGCTTGACTTAACACAATCCTCTTCACTATTACCGTTAATAATAACTATAAGCAAAGTCATGAATGGCACTCTGCTAAAACTGGAGGCATTGTAGGGCTTTGACTGTCTCCTATGTGGGTTACTGTCAGGTTTGGGGGGTGGGGGTGATAGAGCTACAAAATGAGCCATCTGAGCCCCATTCAGGAGCTCCGACCCCATGGCTAAGCTCTTTAAAGGGCATTATGGTTTGTCCACAAGATGACCTCTACTTGGTCCTGACACAATGGAACCAACAGCTTCCAGACACCATTCCTGCCCTGCCATGGATGGGCAGCAACCACTCTCACTATCATGGTGACTTGTTCTGACAATACTCACTCTCTGACATCAGTGTACCAGGCCCTATGCAGACTGCTGGCGATACAAAGTCCACGGGAAATAGTCTCCCCCTGAGCAAACTCCAAGGCTCACGAGGAAGAGTTAACAGCAGTGTGGATGCACTCACCTCCTCCAGGGCATTGGCTGAACACCGAGAACACATCCAGTCTTCAGAAGCCTTTGCAGGAGGAACCCCATAACAACCTAATAGACACATCGAGATGCGCAGATTAAACCCAGAGGCCAGAGTCAGAATGAAGATTTACAACTCTTTTCCATATACTATGTCCCAAAGCTACAACCGAAGCTTACAGAAACTCTCCAATTCTAGAATCAGGGCCCGAGGGGTCAGTCTCAAAAAGTCAGAAACTATAGATTCACTGGTACAAACACCTAGTGAATAGTGGAGACTAATCCCCTCCTGGTGTCTACAGCCAAGGAGACAGCACAGAGTTGACTGTGCAAGCATGGACCCTGGAGTCACATGAAACTCAGACTTAATAGCAACAATCTCCCCCAAAACACACAGGCAATCTCTGCAATGGGGGACTGGGGAGGCCATAGGGAGATGGAGGGGGAGGCCAACGTGGGCAAGGACTTCCAGTGAGAAGGCTCACACCCCCTAGGACAGGACACACGAAAAAGGTGAGAGGCACTCACTGGCGTGGACCCGGACACTGCACTTCTTGCAAGAAACTAGAATGCTGGTGCCATCCTCCTCAAGGTAAGGGGTAGAAAGGTTGATGTCCGTGCTGCAGCCAGTTGAGGTGAAGCACATTTCAGGAATCAAGGGCTTGGTCCTCTGCTTCTGGGGAGCTAAATCTGGAGCATTTCCACAGTTCTGACTAAGGCCTCCAAACTCAACCTAAGGAGAGAGAGCAAGTGCACACCCCAGT